TTGTACTCACAATTTATTAGCATTGTTACCTCTAACTGCTTGGATTAGTTCATCTTTTTTCGGTTTTTCAGCTGTTATTTGTTACAATATGTTTAGTTATTTTTTTCCATTATTGTTTTTAGCAAAGTACACATTATGCAAACTGAAATAAAAAAATGCAGTCCAGAATAAAACATTGCAAAACTTCATAATAAAAGTTTTCAGGAGTAACTGTGCTACTTTCTTAGAATTTCTTTTTTCTCTCTTTTATTGTAAGGAAACTACAAAGTTCTTCTCAAAAACTTTTTTGATTAAGAACTTTCCCAAATATTTCATTTCAAAATTACATTTTTTTCCCCAATTCCTATTCATAAAATATGTGTTTTTCTTGCAACAACAATGGAACCAAATTCACTCATTACAGATCATTTGGGCTCAACCGCAACACTCTCACTTGTAATTTTATATTTAGTTAGTTAGTTGGTTGGTTAGTTAGTACTAATTTGGAATCTTTAAAGATAGTTTACTACAAAAAAAAACTGAATGAAAATAAGACTTTTTTTTATTAACTACAGCTTTTATTTAATTTTTACAGAAATATCACCTATAATCTGAATTGAGTCTTTTATTGCAAATAAAGGAAAATATAACATTTAGCCAAAAGTTGCATTAATATGTTTTTAGCTGCTCACAAAAATACAACTGCAAATACAACTGTAGTCTTTGCTAATTTAAAAGGTTTCAACAGTCGTCCTCGTCTTCACTGCATATTACAACTCACATTGATAAAATCAGACCAGTTCTGGTCTGAATTTAGAGGTCATTAGAGGTGAGACCTAAATCTGATTTCAGTCCATCTAGAGGGTGTTTAGATTGGTATTCAGGGATGTATTCACAATGTCAGACTAAAAGTGTTATCTCCTCTGATTTAGCACCCAGGAGGGCTCGTTTTTCTTCTGCACGTATGTGTAAGTAAAGCTCCCCTACCGCTTCATCATCAGTACATCACTGCAATTGAAAAACATTACCAATAAATAATGTATTTATAATGTTTTACAAATGTATTAAATAATTAACATTAATGATAATTGACACCAAATCTCAAACGAGATTTCAGATATGAAATAATCACAAAGATTTTCTGCACAGTCACTGTTTGACTGCATGCTTTAATTTCAAACCAGTAGCCTGTTTTGTGCTTTTATTTTTTTGTCTCAAAATATTCTATTTTATTTAACTTCTTACAGAAGCAGGTTTGAGTACATTAAAATGCAATGTCCTAAAAATCAGCCATTAAAAGGAAATTCCTGGTATTTCAAACTTTTTTATTTGAGTCAATACTTATACACTTGTATATATAGATGTTTTTCATTATCATAACAAACTCTAAGTTATTTCTTTTCTTTGTGGGTCAAAACATTTTCAAATGCTTAAAACCAATCACCAGTTATGCATCTAATGTTTCTTTCTTCTTTTATACGTCTCTTTAGCTTGCCGTAAAGTGCTGGACCTAAATTTGATTTGAGTCCGTCTAGAGGGTGTTTAGATTGGTATTCAGGGATGTATTCACAATGTCAGACTAAAAGTATTATCTCCCCTAATTTAGCGTCCTCGAATACTGGTGTTCCTAAGCTACGTAAGTAAAGCTTGCCTACAGCATCAATAAATCACAGAAGTTTTAAAAAAAACATAATCACTAAAAAATATTGACTTTTTTTTCCCATTAATGATGATTGACACCAAATCTCAAATGATATTTTGCTAATATGAAATTAATTCATACATTTGCTACACAGCAATGGTTTGACTGCATGCTTTAAGTTCAAACCAGTAGTCTTACTGTAATTGTGATTATTTAAATAAATTATTTTAATTTTCACATTATTCTAGTTTATTAAGCTTCATACAGAAACAGGTCTGTGTACAGTAATACTTAACTGTCTGTAGAGTTAGTGTTTAAAAGAAATTCCTTGTATTTCAAAAATGTTCCCCTTTAATATCAGACAATATTTATATACTTAAAGGGGAACACTGTTTTTTTTTTTACATTTGCCCCTTGATTTAACGTTATTACATTATGTTCTACTCATATTAGTTTTGTGTCATTTGGAGCTGTTCTGAAGGTATTCAGTTCTGTTATATTCAAGTAACGTCTTCCTATGGGCAACGAGTTAAAGGCACAAACTAAACTGTTCATAAATAATTTATGGTACGCCAGCATTCATAACATGTAGGCGAATCACTGTTCCCCAGACATCCGCTGTTATATTTTCTATATTTATATTTTTTATAAAACAAAGCAGCGCGTGTATGACATCATCCGCACGCCGGACTGCAGTTTTGACAGGCAGCCTGGGCCACAGGCGGCTACGCTCTACCCCTTCTATTCATTCGGCGAGCTAATCTGAATCGTTC